TGAGACATCAATATGTCTGCTCAATAATGGATGTCCATTAGAGTTGGTAATGATTCTACGCATCATAGTAGATCCTAGATGACCTAAACGATCATGCCAAAGCATATAAACCTTTGAATCAATGAACTTCTAGTTCATGACAGTATATGCCTCAACTGTCTTTATGTATGTATAATACAATCCACTCGATAAACCATGCAACTTCTCCAATATACACTTCTGGGTATCATTTGAGGTAATGCATAAATATTCCACATTTTCTACATTTTTCGTTTCAATGTGGTATTCATTTAGACGTATGTCTTTAAACTCAACAAATTTCGAATGGATCGAGTAGCATATAATGCATTCTTTATGGATAATATTGTTCCATTTGGTAACATAATCTGGGCTTTTCCTGAGCCTTTAATTACATCTGATTGACCTGATATTGTACTTTTGCAAGTACCAAATTCGAGAAATTCGATCTCAAAGTATTGAATGCGTGGTTGCGTTGTCTGCAAGACAAAAGTCTCCGCCATTGCTCTTGTTTTGAGAATAACCATAATTTTTATCCATGTTCTTTGAGTAAAGAAAAAGCAGTTTAATACTATTTTTATTGAATTGAAAATGCGAGCATTAAACCACAAGTACAAATAACAAGAGTACATTAAACATAAATAATTCAATCAGACCCATAAACTTCATTCCCTCTTTCATTAATAAAGTCTGTAGCATCCAGGTGGGTTACGCTGTCTGCAAGACAAAAGTCTCTGCCATTGCTCTTGTTTTGAGAATAACCATAATTTTTATCCATGTTCTCTGAGTAAAGAAAAAGCAGTTTATTCATACTGGAATACTACTTTTATTAAATTGAAAATGCGAGCATTAAACCACAAGTACAAATAACAAGAGTACATTAAACATAAATAATTCAATTAGACCCATAAACTTCATTCCCTCTTTCATTAATAAAGTTTGTAGCATTCAGGTGGGTTGTGTTTAACTGTCCTGATAAATTGGTCACTAGATCAGGTGTTTCCATTGGTTGAGCCTGGTCGAAGAAATTGATCTCGACACCATTCTCCTTGAAAGAGGCTTGATACAGTTCCACCAGATGCTTTGGGGTGCGACAAGTACGCGCCCAATGTTCGTTGCCACCACACCTATGGCAACCTCCTTTAGGATTTCTAGGAGTGTTCATATGAGCTTTTCCTTTCTGGCGATTTGCATTTTTAAAGTTCAGGCCTACATTATGCCTTGGAACCTGGTTGTAAAACTGGTTGTGAAACTAGACACCATGGTTCTTGCCTTTCCCTTTCCACCGGCCTTGCTTGTGGCCACGTCATCGTTTGTAATTATTGCCACGGGAGGATATGGTATTCCTTTCAAGGGAAGCAGCATTCACTTCTGGGAACAATGCTGATCCAGTAGGTTGGGAATTATGGTTTTTCATCAGGAGCTTATTGTTCTGTTCAGCTACCAGGAGCACAGATATCAGCTGGTTGTATTCAATGAAGCCTCACGCTCTATACTGCTGTTGCATGAGCATGAAATGTGCTGAAATTCTTTTCCAATAACATATCCTCAGTAATAGTATCCCCCACAGAGCTTCATCTGAGAGGTAATTTTGAACAACGACGAATTGTACTTAGCCACTAACTTGAAATCCTGGATCCTTAGGTGAGTCCAGTCATAGCGAGCTCTTAAAAGAATCACCATTGTCTGGTGATTGTATCTGTTTCTCAAGGCCTTCCAGAAGGCTAACGAATCTTCAACCGTTAAGTACTCGCTCTTTAGTGCCTCATTAAGATGGCGACGAATAAAAATCATGGTCTTTGCCCGATCTTGAGAGGATGAGCTGCTCTCTTCCTTGATGGTATCTCCAAGATTCGCTGCTTCCAGATGGATCTTATTATCCAGTACTCAGGTAAGGTAATTCTTTCCAGTAATGTCCAGGGCAGCAAAATCAAGCTTTGCCAAGTTTGTCATTTTCTTTTCTGAAAGAAAAATGAGATGTGTAAGAACTTGCAATAATATGTGTTCTGAAGGAATATATTGTTAAAACTTCTGGTTCTTACAAATTTTTTATCTTCAGGCCAAAATGTTAAGTACTCGAAACTTCAAGCTCGAGATTTACATGATTAATGAGAATGACAATTGTACCGCACCATTCTCATCGAAACAAGTATAGGATGAGCGATTATTTTGCACTACTTTAAAACAGCAGGAAAATTTAAATATGTAGAGTAAGGTGGACGATTATACCGCACCATCTAAAATTGCGATAAAATTTAAATATGTAAAGCAGGGTGGACGATTATACCACACCGCACAAAATTTAAATATGCAAAGTAGGGTGGACGATTATACCGCACCACCTGAAATTGCGATAAAATTTAAATACCGCACCACCTAAAATTGAAATAAAATTTAAATATGCAAAGCAGGGTGGACGATTATATCGCACCACCTGAAATTGCGATAAAATTTAAATATACAAAGCAGGATGGACGATTATACCGCACCATATGAAATTGCGATAAAATTTAAATATGCAGAGCAGAGTGGGTGATTATTCCACACCACCTAAAATTGTGATAAAATTTAAATATGCAGAGCAGAGTGGGTGATTATTCCACACCGCCTAAAATTGCGATAAAATTAAATAGCAGGTAAATTTAAATATGCAGGATAGGGTGGGCGATTATACCGCTCCACTTAAAATTTGCAGTAAAATTAGATCTACAGTCCAAGATAGGCGATAATACCGCACCATCTTGGATTGCATAAATAAACATTTAGTTAATAGTCAAGAGTTACACCAAACAAAAAATCAAAGATATAAGTAACTGTTAAATTGAGAACTAGAAGTAAACATGGTCCAAATAGTTCTTCGCAATGGTATATCCAGCAATTGAGGCAAAGGAAGAAGAAGAACAGTAAAAACCTTAGAGAAAACTTTTTTTTTTTCTTTCGGTGAAGGGAAATGAGAAATTATTAGAGAGTCGTAATGATAACGTGTTATAAATAGGCAAAAGTAGATAAATAGCCTTTAGTAAGAACGAGAACGAAGTGGTGCAAAATATCACACTGACAAAAGTATTGCCGATATTAGAAAATGAGGGATACTGAGAGTATTATATTTCTTCCTTTTCTCTTCTTGATGTTCTCCTCTAACTCTGAACAATTGAAGTGCTCTATTTATAGAGCCACTTCAATGGAAAATTTCAAAATGATTACTATTTAGCTTGTGAGTCTATACTATACACATGTGATACTTTACTATACACATGTGGGCAAACATACCCACTTTTACAACACATCTATACTTTTGAGCATAATCCTTATTTTCAAGCTGCATTCTACTGCCTTTATATAGCAAGGAACCTTGAGCATAATTAACAAACCCGATCCTAGTCCACCAAAACTGCCCGCACACCTTCAGCAAAATAACTCTGCAAAGACGATCTTATTGCAACGCGATATTCAATTTTCATCACACCAGTTAACTGGTATTGACCAAGTACAGCACATGTTAGTTTCAGATTTGTGAGCTACTAGAACACAACACCTATCAAAAGGATGTGACCGCCACATGGTGAAAGAAACGAAAAGGTAGAAACTGCACACTCACTGCGGATAATTGATTCTCATTTTTCCCAAGCGCAGATGCAACTTGGAGAAATAATTTTGTGTCAAGTAAAGTGAAAAAGAAGCAACCTTTCCAAGACCTTGAAGAGTTTCATTAGCCCACTCCACCACTGCAATAAAAACAAGGAATCGGCTAGAACAACAAAATAATAATACAAAAAGGAAAACCACAATTTGAGAGAAAAATACTCGACAGTGACATACAAACTTTCAATAGAAGAGTACATGAGATTTCATTTCATTATCAATAAACAAATGGCATTGACAAAGTTACCAGTAGCATCTGAACTCTGCTGCTGCTTTTTAAGTTCATCAATTGTCTCAACAACTGACTTACTTGCACCAAATGCTGGAAGTTATTTGAGATAGCAGCGACTTACGTTGGGGTTCAGAATCTGGGTTGCTACTGAATTTCGCCAAATTTGTTTCAATGTCCTGATGTGATCCTGCGAACTGCATCAACAATGGCGTTGCTTTTAACTCATCAAGGGTATTTGACAATGGGATGATGCCAACTAAATTAAACCCCACTAGTGCATCAGATATATGAAGGAAAAGAAATGAAAAACGAAGGCAGAAAGAAGAGAAACATAAAAGTTGGTTGACAAAAGGGCCTCCTTTAGAGAACCTAAGGTTTGAGATGGGACAAAATGTGCATATAGTGCATCCGATGTTGTTGAAATCCTTTTAACAGTCAGTCCAAGATAAGCACCTAGAAAGACATAACACTGTTAAAACAAACTACAGAACTAAGAATTGATGCATGAAGCTAACAGAGAAATTGTATAGGCCATTCTCCTTATATAATTATAATCTAAACGGTTTCTCCTTAGTAATGAAATACTAGAGTAAAAATATCTAGATTTATATACCTTCTGATTGTAGTGCGTACTATAGTATGTCAACGCTTGAAAAACAGCATGCTCCAGTCAAAGGAAAGAAATTGCGTCTGAGGATAGAAAAAGCATACCTACAGATCCTCCCCCTGGACTCTTTGCCGCTATATGGGAAAACCCAATTCCATTCTCTGGCATAGCAAGAGCAGTTCTCCGAAATGTATCTTTACAAGGTTAGACACACAAAATTCAAAAATCCGCAATGTAATTGCATGCATTTACATGTCCTTAGCATAGGCATGTTAGGATCGCTTTCATCACCCTCGGGTGTCAGCCAACACATGTCCATCCTGGTGTCCAAATGACACCGGGATCAGGGCTTGTCATTGCAACCGTCTTCGGTCTTTGCAGGCACCTCAAGAAATTCTGAAGGACAAGAACGAATGTAGCAAAGAAGAAGCATGCAAGTCGGTTGACAAAAGGGAAAGGAAAAAAAAAGAGACGGAGAAGAAGAAGAAAAAACACGAGGCAAATTTTAAGCCAATTATTTCATTTTAATTAAAGAGCGACACAGAGAAGAAGAAACAGCTGCATTTGGAGATAGCTGCTTTATTTGCCTAGTTTGTAACATTAGCTCTTGATAATTTTGGGGAAGAGTAAAAAAAAACACACTTAGGCAGTACCAAAGAAGAAAAATGTACAATTAAGAACAATCGCCGCTCCTCAAACTTTGTAGCAGATCCAGGTATCCGAAGGACTCGGGCCTAATGTACCTGCACTGATAAAAAAACAGTGATCAGATTCGTATGAGGGCATCACATAGTAGTTAAAATACCTGGCCGTGCATGAATGGTTTGAGATACCACCATAGTGGCATCCACTAGGTGTGAGTTTCTCTTGGAAAGGATCACTTATTGTAAGAATGTCAGCTGTGAAAGTGAAATACCCGTGTCGAAAAAGGAAGTCAATGATGACGAGAGAGCAATTTGGCTTGAAAAATTGCGTCCTCCGTATGATGTTTGCAACATGAGTCACTGGAATCAACTTGAAGCTCTCCACCTCTCCATCTGTCAAATCTCAAATGTTTAGTATGCAGCATTGTTCAAGTTGTCTCAATCAGTGGAAATTGCGGATGGTTTTGAATGACGGCAGGCGAAAATTCATCATCCAAAATCAAATGATGAGAAAAAGGGCAAACCTCGAGGCATGGTTTACAACTACTATTTGTAAAAGCTAAGCTCTAAAGGTCTCACCTTGATTCTTTGGCATGAAACTCTCAGGAAGCTTTAAATCATAGCAAAACAAAACATCCCTTTTGTATCTATACCCATCAATGTCCATATAAGAAACAGCTCCAACTGGTACAGCTCTGCATGCATGAGATCATTTTCAAATCAACATCACCATCAGTGTACGAGACAGAGAGAGAGCGAGAGAGAGAACTTACACACTGGAAATGGGTCTGGGTATTCCGGCTTCCTCTTCACATTCCTTTACAACATTTTCCCCACATGCAACCCCGTGAGGCTGCAATTATCAAAAATTGGTGCGAACTAGATATTAGGTTTAGTGATGAAAGGATTATGCAAGCTTTATCATTTTTGTAAAGGAACACTTTGCTTCAGATTACAACAATAAAATCCGGCAAGTTCTCAGGTCAAGTTTAACTTTTCAATCTTGTAGTTTCACCAACTACATTTCACATCAAAGTGCACCAGAGCGGTCTAATTTCAAGAACATGTCATGTAATGAAAGTTATTCTAGTTGCCAAAAGCAACCTCCCTTTCACAGCCTAAATAGTGAAAGAACAGAAACTAAATTCCTCATATCAAGATGAAATCTCATTACAAACCAGTCCCCCAGCAACGAGCTGATCAAGCATCCCTGGATAAGTGGATTTCTGTTGGCTTCTCTTCCCTATCCATAGAAACTTCTGGCCATCCTTTTCAACATAGCCATTCATTTGCACTCCATAAGCCTATTCCAAAAGTATAGATAAATAAGTTCAAAATAAAATGAAAATAGCACGTAAACCAAATGTAACAACAACAAAACAGTCAGCTGGCTTCTATGTGACCATTTAAAATCGACCAGATTACTTAATCCTTCAACACCAACACCAAAATTTTAACCCTTCAAAAGCTTTTATATTCCTCTCCTCGAACCACAAATACAATACCACACAACTGGTCACCTTCCAAACCTCATCAAAATCTTTTTACAGAATATCCATGCCAATCTATTAACAAACCATAGGCGCAGCTAGGTGCATAGCACCAATAAATCCAATGAACAAGTTCCATTCATATACAGATCGGTATGGCCAAAATGGCTTGCTAGCCATTCATAAAAAAAAGATCCTAATTTAGAACCTAGACCAAGGTAAAAAGGCTACGCAAAGAGCAAAAACAAACCTTTATTCCGAAATAAGGCGCAGCAGCACGTTCTAGAGAGAAACATATGGGTGCCCCAAAGGATGATGCCACCGGGTATAGCTGATCATCCAGATAAAAACGATTCCAAAGTTAAACTCAACTGTAAAAACGTATAGTCGTCGGGGTGTTTTTTCTAATTTTCTAAAATTATAAGCACATTTCAGCCAGTACAACCAAAATCATTACCTCATTTCTTATACCTGGAATCAGTTCTTCTTCCCCTAAGCTTTTGATTACATCTCCCACCGCTCGCGTCCTATCCTCCGCCGTGCGCAGTGAAGAATGCAAGGTCATTGAGCCGCCACCATCATCAGAATTTGAATTTTCTGGCGGGAAAACAAACACGTCCTTGAAACTATGTAACTTCTCAGCAAAACTGCATAATTTCGGAAAATTATTCAGCAACGCATCTGATCGAATTGGGTATTTGAATTCACAGAATTTAAGCTTACCCATTGTGAATGTAACCAATAATTTGGTCCTCAATCACAAACGGCATGAACTCCGATTGAGATTCCTGCAAGATATTTCAATAAAATTTATATCTTTTTTTTTTCGGGGGGAGGTTGGATATGAAAACGACCAATCAGGTTTGTTTGGCAGCTAAGAAAATGCAATGGGCAACTTACCAGTCCGCGATTGCAGATTTTGATCTTGTCAGAGTAGCCTTTGAGATCTGAAGGGTCGTCCTGAAGGGCATCCGGTTTGGAGATCCGGACGACGTCGTCCCAAGTGAAGACATCTGAGGCTGCAGAGACAGATACGCTGCGAGAAGTGAGGATTTCGTGAATAGCTTTGGGGGCGGATCGAAGTGGACGCGACGTCGTGAGGGAGTTGGGGAACGCGCGAAAAGCTTTGGCAGTGAAACGTGAGACCAAAGAGTCGACGAGAAGACTGCCGCCGCTGATGGAGGCCATGAGAGCGGGTACGACTCCTTGATTTTACAGTATTACCAACGGACTTAACGACGTTATCCAACCACCACCGTGGCCAGTGGGCGAAGCTACCAACTCGTTTCCTTTTTAAAGAAAAAAACCGACGTTGTCCAATGGAAAACTATCTTTTACATCCAATTAAGACATTTGGGTCAATTAATCTTTACAAAAGGTAAAACTATTCTGGAATTCAATGTCCAGTTTTTCCCCCAAAAAAAAAAAGGTAAAACTACTCTTTACATCCAATTACGACATTTTGGTCAGTCAATCTTTAGCTAGCAAACGCGCTACATCAGATGTGAATATTTGATTAGAAGCGTCACATGGTCGGAATTTAAAAAATTAAAAACAAAAAAGATTAGTTGATGAGTTCGTCACACCAGTCCATTCTTGCGGAGGCCGGTAAGACTCACATAGACATTATTGATAGTTCATTGTAAAGCTAAACCTATTGTGAGGCTAAATCAACCTCGTTCCTTTATTGTAGATAATATCGTTTGTAAAAAAAAAAAAAAAAAAACGTTCAGAAACGAGAAGCATAATTCATATTCGAACAAGTCTATGCATATAATCACTATCACAATTTTAGTTCATAACTGGCCACGTACAACGCAGTACAAAAGCACTAAAAGCGTCCAAGTGAAAGTGCTTTCTTCTCAAGTAGTTTCATTAAACTTAGTTTCCACAACGGTAAATATATTTCAACAGTTCCGTTTTCACATGCCAATCCATCACACGCTCAACTCCTCAACGTTCGGGCTCAATGGCTCGAATAGAGCTTCAACTTCGCTTTGATTAACCTCTTCTAACTTTGACGGGTTCCACTTTGGATTCTGCATTGGTAATAAACAAAAGCAAAAGATAAGGATTTGTTCTGATATAACGGAAAATAAGATGATTATTTCACCAAAATGGTCTTAGAGAGAGTAACCGTTTATCTTGCAGCACTCCGTCTATTGAGAGTGCTTTTCAAAAGGAAACTGTATAATTCGGATAATTAAAGTAAACTAACATCTACATTTTAAAGCATAATATTAACTTCAAGCTGCATTCTACTGCCTTTTTATAGTAATGAATCTTGAGCATAATGAACAAACCTGATCCTTGTCCACCAAAACTGCGCGCACACCTTCAGCAAAATCACTCCGCAAAGACGATCTTATTGCAATGCGATATTCAGTTTTCATCACACCTGTTAACTGGTGTTGGCCAAGTTCGGCACATGTTACTTCCAGCTTCCAGATTTGTGAGCTACTAGGACACAACAACTATCAAAAGGATGTAACCGCCACATGATGACAGAAACAAAAAGGTAGAAACTGCAGACTCACTGTGGATAATTGATTCTCATTTTTCCCAAGCGCAGATGCAACCTTGGAGAAATAATTTTGTGTCAGGTAAAGTGAAAAAGGAGCACCCTTTCCAATACCTTGAAGAGCTTCATTAGCCCACTCCACCACTGCAATCAAAACAATGAATCGGCAAGAACTACAAAATAATAATACAAAGAGGAAAACCACAATTTGAGAGAAAATTACTCGCCAGCAACATACAAACTTTCAATAGAAGAGTATGAGAGATTTCATTTCATCATCAATAAACAAATGGCATTGACAAAGTTACCAGTAGCATCTGAACTCTGCTGCTGCTTTTTAAGTTCATCAATTGTCTCGACAACTGACTTATTTGCACCAAATGTGGAAGTTATTGGAGGCAGCAGCGACTTAAGTTGGGGTTCAGAATCTGGGTTGCTGCTGAATTTCGTCAAATTTGTTTCGATGTCCTGATGTGGATCCTGAGAACTGCATCAACAATGGCGTTGCTTTTATCTCAACAAAGGTATTGGACAATGGGATGATGCCAACTAAATTAATCCCCACTAGTGCATCAGATATATGAAGGAAAGAAAAAAAGAACGAAGACAGAATGAAGAGAAACATACAAGTTGGTTGACAAAAGGGCCTCCTTTAGAGAACCTAAGTTTTGAGATGGGACAAAATGTGTCCCAAGACCCACATATAGTGCATCCGATGGTGTTGAAATCCTTTTACCAGTCAGTCCAAGATAAGCACCTAGAAAGACATAACACTGTTAAAACAAACTACAGGACTAAGAATCGATGCATGAAGCTAACAGAAAAATTGTATAGGCCATTCTCTTTATATACTTATAATCTAAACGGTTTCTCCTTAGCAAAGAAGTACTTTAGTAAAAATATCTGGATTTATATACATTCTGATTATAGTGCCTACTATAGTATGTCAACGCTTGAAAAACAGCTTGCTCCAGTCATAGGAAAGAAGTTGCGTCTGAGTATGGAAAAAGCATACCTACAGATCCTCCTCCTGGACTCTTTGCCGCAATATGTGAAAACCCAACATCTGGAAACAAACCAATTCCATTCTCTGGCATAGCAAGAACAGTTCTCTGAAATGTATCTGTACAAAGTTAGACACACAAAATTCAAAAATCCGCAATGTAGTCTGACAAGGTAATAATACCTCTGTAATGATCCGGTAGCGACCATGACCTGATAGGCCAATACCAAAGCCCATTGTTATGCCATCCATGAAGCTTATATAGGGCTTCTTGTACTCAGATATTTTACATATTAGAGAATACTCAGCAGTGAATACCTAAAAAACGTGCAACCCAAATATCATGTTGGTAGTCTTAAAAATACGACAAATGGTAGCTCAGAAAAGAAATGAATACTATCCAACCAATACAAATCATATCACCCAAGTTCAAGCAAAATCAAAACTAAACAAATGATCATATGTTGTAACTTGTAGGTTGCCCGAGAATGTCAAACACGAAATTAGAAAAGAAAAAAATGGCCGTATGTATTCAACATTGACTAACAATTAAATACATGCTGAAAGCACAATCTTAGCTGCAATTTATGACATTTATACGACATTTTCCCTTCGAAATTTTAGGCCTATCAACAAATAAGTCATTACGATTCTAATGCATGAATTTTGTGAAAACGGGCTTGGTTTGTTTCTATTAAGGCTTAATCATCAATGATTTTGCAAGGGTAAACCGTATTGCTAGTTGTAAATTCTATTCACTATGAAAATTACCAAAATTACATCTAATATGGTAGTGAAGGAAGTCGCCTTGTATTATCTGGACTTTAGCAAACTGTATAAGGTTATAAGTCTGTTATTAAATATACTTAAAAGGACACAATTAGACCACAACCATATCCGGTAGTTGGTTTTTGGCCGTGATCTGCTTCACATCACCGCCTGCAGGTAAACTAAAATCTGGGTTATCAATTATCAATGAATCAACATGCCAACTTAACGGACACCGTCTATCTCTACATGGGAAAAATGCAGCACAAAAAGCAACAATGAGGTGAAACAATAAACATCATGACATGAAACAGCACGCACATCAAAGACCAACAATCTATCACGTAAGCACCTAAACAAGAAACAATTCTAGTTCAAAACAAAGCGTAATGTAGAAACCTTCGGCACAAGAGGTGTGTTTTTGTCCTTTTGAATTTCGGCAACAACCCCTTTAATATCCATTCCTGCATTAACCATGATAGGTCACTCTCAAAACCTAACCTATGAGACCCAAAAAACGAAGATAACCACCGAAAGAGCTAAACATACATCTATTGGAAAACTTATTTAGCTACATGCTAAAATGGAAGTGTAAAATTGCCGAGAAAGAAAGTATTCAAATACGGATTCTCCGTGTTTACCAGCACAAAAGGCACGGGCCGAGCTGCTATCGACAAGAACACACTTCACACTCGGGTCTGATTCCCATTCATCCAGATAGCTTTTGTATTTCACATCCATATCTGCGTTTCCAAACAATTCCCACTCAAACAGAAACACAAATTTCTTCATAAAAAGCTAACTTATTCAAAATTTTAATCCAAAATTTCGTCATCATATCACAAATGCAATAACACAGAACTGTAATCAATACGATGCAATACAGTTCAAGTTTAAAATTTCAGCTCCAAATGCAAAAGCAATTACAGATATAATATATATATATATGTCTGCGTGTGGGTACCTAGGTTCATGGCGTTGAGAGCTCGGGGGCGATCGAGGGTGATGACTGCGACGCCGTTCGGGTGGACACTGCCCTTGACGAACTCGTCGGCGGAGGCCATGATCGCGAAGGTTCGGAGAAGGAGAGGGGATTCGGAGAGTTTGCACAGAGAGAGTTTGGAATTTGGATTGAGGAAGAAGAAGAAAGCGGAAGACGATTTGCTCAGAATTTGGGTCGCTCGTCCGAATAAGATTCGCATTACTTCTGTTCGAGAGTGACTGTGTCAGTGATTCAGGGTGTAGAGAGAGAGAGAGAGAGAGAGATTTGGTGTTTCTGGACCAGATTACCCTTGATGTTTCGGTTAAATTACCGGGAAAAGAACCGTCGTGGTGACGAAGTGAAAGTTGTGATAGTGCGCGGTGGCGGGCGGGTAGCAACTAGCGAATGGGTTGTGCTGTGTGGCCGGAGGGTGTTAACGGTATTACGGTTTTTTGTGACCACAACATGAGGCACGTTATTGGGCCAGCTAAATCTAAAAGTGAAGCCCAATTTAAGAAATGACAGGTAGCCCAAAACGTGAATCCGTTTTTTCATCAGAGAAATGAGAACTTTCCTAAATCTTGGTTGTGTAGGGCCTTTAGAGCAGCTCCAGCAGGAGCAACTGCTCGAGGGACAGGTTGCGGAACAGGGTCTAATTGCCCGAGGAAGGAAGTCCAGCGTTGGCTGGCAAGCGAGCCCGAGTAGGTCCGAGCTCCAGGCCCGTTGATTCGTGCATGCCCGAGCGCCCGAAGGTTGTCTGATGTGGGTTGATGTCAGATGCCTACCAAGTGAATCGGAGGGCCACCAGACGACTGTACGACCTCCAAAACATCGTCATCGTCCTCCTCCTCTTCGTCTACGCTGTCATCGGATTCGGACTTGGACTGCGACTCGTACATCTCCAATTGCTCGGCGGTCAAAGGCTTAACTTCGTTTTCCTCCGCAACTTCCTCCATAGCCTTCATCCTCTTAAAGCTCACACAAATTTGCAAAGAAAATCTCCTCTTTGTATTCTTGAGAAAACGAATTGGGATTGGATTTGGGAGAATGAATGAGATAGAGGGAGGGAGGGATGAGAGAGGAGCTGCCAATTGGGATTGGATTATAAATAAAATTATTTTGTATTATTTTATAAATAAAATACTAATATTTTATTGTCAATTGCCAAGGCTATTCAAGTGCAATGGTGGAGATGCAAAAGGCGATTACTGTTCATTAAGAGCAGTTACTGTTCACTGGGTGGATTAAATAATGAATAGCCTGGGAGGAGGGCTCCGACGCTAGAAGTGCTCTTATGCCATTTGATGTTCATGTTCTTTAGGGGTTGCCTGCTCCTTTACCAAAATGAAAAAGAAACGAAAATGTATCTTTTGGTCATAAACAAAGTAACAAAAAGCACGGAAAATTTCAGTTTGACACGTATATAAAAATAATTCATAACACAAACTAAAAGTTTCTTCACACGTGTACATCAAACCGTGACTGGTAGGTAAGAGTAAAATCATTACTTACAAGGGAACGAGAAATTTTTAGTTGTGACGGGAACACGAATGGTACACCAAGTGTTTTTATGTGAGTGATGAGAAATTTTATTTTTTAAGTAATTAACTTTTTAACACACATATTTCACCATTTATATAATAACACGTGGTGTACCATCTCGTATGACGGTCACACTGAAAAATCTCTCCAAGGGAACGAGCTAAACATTATCTATTAGCAAATAACTCTGAAACTAAAAGTACACATTAACCATACATAATATTTTACATGCTAAACATTCTCCATTCTAGTCTTTTGATACAAACTATTGTGACGATTGACAACTTAAACATATAATTTCGAGTGTATAAGTGAATATTCTTAATTACTTCAGCTATTAACCCTTTGCAGCGGACGTCTTTCACCAGACAAATTATTCTAGCTACCTAGCTACTACTTACCTAGAGAAATTAACTAATTAATATAGTCCGCTTGTATAATTTTTAGCCAATGATATAAGGATCTTGATCAAATTTAAGCCCCAAGACTTGTCCTAGCACATCAAGAAGCTCAAGGTGTGCAGTCAACTGCGGGAAATGCCCGTCTGTATTTATAATCTTGACATTAGGGTTTTCCTTCATCTTCTTCTGCATGTAGAACGCAACCGATTTTGGAGCAACAATGTCGCTGCTGGTGCTGATGATGGTGCATGGAGTCGAGACCTTGTCTATAATGTCTCTATGGTCGCTGTAAAAGACGGTTTTCGCCAAGGCGAGGGCAATTTCAGGCCTCATTCTGCGCAGGCACTTGACGAATTTTTCGACCGAGAGAGGGTCATTTGTGCCCACAGCAAGTGTGGCGAAGCTGGCAGCCCAGTTGTGATAGTTGGATTCTATGGCTGAGATGATCTGTGTGATATCTGACATCTCAAACCCACCTTCATAGTCGTCTATATTTATATACCTACAAATGTATTGAATTAATATGATTTCTTTGTTCATATAAATGTGGACCCAAAAATGTGATTATATTTTATATAGAGACAAGACAGAGTAAAGGCACTCTCATATATTACTGATATTAATTCATTTGTGACCACAAATATAAACATATATGCATGCATGCATGTATGTATGTGTGTATGTATGTATGTATGTATGTATGTATGTATGTATGTGTGTACGTATGTATATACAACGTTTCTCTTTATGGACCTTTACGTCATGTCTTTCGTGTGGATGCCTACAGCGGTGGTTAGATTGTTCTTTTCGGTCGATTGGCAATATAATTTTTGCCATTTTCAGTTGATCAACGCAAGAGTTTTGCTCAAAATTAGGATTTACTGTTCATATTTTGGGCACATCCGCACAAAATTCGAGCATTAACGTAACATAATTTTATATAAATAACTGGATGTTTGAAGTGTCTAACACAAAGTTAGACAAGGACTAAAACAAAATGATGGAGAAATTTTCACTAAGGAAATTATAAATGGATTAATTGATGCAAAAAAACCTGGAACAAAATAAAAACCTCTGTATATGCTTGAATATTCAATAAAAAATTAGAGAAATAGAGAGAGAAAGTTGTATATAAGAGTGAGAAAGTACCTAGGAGAAGCTCCAATGAGGATGAGGGACTTAAAGAGGTCAGGTCTTTTAACTGAAGCAATACATCCAATCATACCAGACATGGAATGACCAACAAAGACAGTAGATTTTAGGTTGAACTCGTCTAAGAGAGCAATTAGGTGAAGGGCAAATGCGTCATAGGAGGAATATTTCCCAGCTGGATCAAACAGTTTCAGGTCATCACCTTCCTTATTATTCACAGCGCCGGAGAAAGGCCAGTCGAAAACAAGAACACGGTAAAGCTGAGCCAAGTAGGGCACGATTTTGTCCCACACAGACTGGTCTCCTCCGTAACCATGTGCCAGAACCACCGCTTCACCACCCGAGCCCACGATTCTTGCGTTCATGGCGGTCGAAAGGTTTTTTTCTAGCACCATTTTTGTGGTTTTTTTATGAAGTATTAACCGAGAGAGAGAGAGAGAGAGAGAGAGAGAGAGAGAGAGAGAGAGAGAGAGAGAGAGAGAGAGAGAGAGAGAGAGAGATGGAAGGGGGATGGCTAGAACAAACTGTGTTTTGCTCTAGTCTCCATTTTATAGGAACAAGAATGGATTAATTTTGGGCAAATGGCGATGAATAGGAAATTTTTTTTTTTCTAAACAATTGATATTATCTATACTAAAGGGAGGAAATAGGCTTAGCCTCACAGTGGTTCAAATTCGTTTTTTACGATAATCGAATCTAACACCTTTCACCTACAAGTAAAGAAAAATATCACTAGACCGTAGTACTAAGTGACAAATAAGAATACTTAATTAGTGTGGTTAATAATTCAGATGTGTATTGCTTGGTGAATAAATAGTATTTTTATTTTACCAAATATTGATTTTAAAACGTGTGAAGTTATTGCATATAGTTTTGTAGCTGGAAAGAACCTTGATGGTTGATGAGTGCAAATTATACTACTTTTTATTATGCCAAAAACTATATATTCTTGTAACGTTTTAGACTTAAATGTATAGGCTTACATGGTTTTGTGTTCTCGAACTAGATTGACAAGATGAACATAAATTAGATGTGACTAGTTTTTGTTGAATTAAATGGGTCAAGTATAATTCTTTCTCAATATTTTGTTTAAATAAATTGACCATATGTGCTTTAGGCATATTTAAGATCACATATTTTTGTTTTGGGTTTTTAGAATGGAAGTATTATTGGCACTTCAAAAATCTCATTATACACTCCTCACAAGTGTATTTTTCTTTCCTAATATAGAAAGTTTGAATTGTAGAATAAGATTTTTAGAGTGCTCAGAACAGTTGGCCTTTTTTATTAGCACCCCACATATTGTTGAATGCACCCCCACAAAAAATTCAATATTAAATTACTTATTTATTCTACTATGCAATGACAATTTCGACCTTATAAAGTTAAAAAAAAAAAGGAAATTTCCAAATACACCCCACATCACTTTTAACGTATTATTTATCTTCTTCAATTATCAAAACCATTCCACCCTCCATTGTTGAACAAAATCCTAACTAATGAAACTACAAACACATAGATTGAGAAAAACCTAACAAAATGTCTATGAATATGCAATGCTATTGATCATTGTGGCAAGAAATTATTTTCTCTCCAACCACACATTTTATCACATCCCGGCATTTACTATGTCGAAAAACTTCAAAGCTTATACCTTTGAACCAGCTCTGTGAATTGCAATGCCAATAGCTTGAAACTTTTGATAATTTTTTTTATTTTTTATTTCTTTTGTTATAGAAAAGTTACATAAGATCTTGAGTTTGGATAATTCTTGAGTTTGAAAGTGACATAAGATTTTCCAATCTGCACAAAGATAAAAAAAAAAAAAATTTAAGATAAGTGTTAGCGTCCAAATCGGTTAATGATAATTTGCTCTCAAGCTGGAAACGAAAAACAAGTCAATCACATAAGTAATTAGCCTGGGAACAGCAGAGTATCTAGATTCAATCCATCAAAATTAAAAATGAGAATTATAAAATTTGAAGACATTGGGATGTATATAGAAATATAATGTGTGTTTTGAGAATGTGGGGTGTGAGGGTATTATGGAGAGGTATGTGGAGTGTATAAAGATAACTTTTAATTGAAAAAGTAAATATGGAGTGTATTAAGTATGTATGATTTATTCAACAATTTGTGGGGTGTTAATCTAATAAGCCATAACAATTTCCTTTCCGAATACGCATCTATTTTCATTTAAATGTTATGCAGGTGACAAAGCAAAGCACATGACCGCTTCTACAACAAGGTTGCCCTTATCCTCTTAATTGTACCGACATAAGAAAAAGGGCTTAATTCTCTCTCCCGTTTCCAAGAGTTAGCCGCACGAAATTAGAAGAAAGATGGGGAGTCACCTACTGAAATCAGCTACCAATTCGTGGGTCTTCGACAATGTCATAAATTTGGATATATGGCTGCTCAATTTGTTCGACTGGTGTGGAGTTTTGTTCATTCTAATTAATAGTTGATTTCATTTGGAGATGCAATTTCAGTGCAAACTGTGCAGCTAGCTGAAGAAGGCAGCAAAGGGAGGCGTAGCCAGATGGAGAAAAAATCAATGAAGGCGTTTAATCATACAAAGTGGCCAGCAAATAATTCAGGAGCCCTTCAGTTTTCTCTCTGTTATTTCAGTCAATAAATCGTCGTTAAGCCGTTGTAGGTTACGAAAAAGAAAATGGAAACATAAGAGGGAAAAGAAGAGGACAACTGATCATTATTCAGCAGACGAAGAGTTCAACGACGAGAGCTGCAAATTTGTTCCGGCAGCAAGAGAAATTCAGGATTTTCCTAAACCCTATACGGAACTTTATACATCACTATTGCATAAGAGAGATTATACTATGTAATCGGGCACATAACAATTTTCATGTTATGTCGTTTGTAAATATAAGACGATATATATTCAATTGTATGTTAGAATCTCTCGTAAATTAAATAGGCGTGTTTCAAGAATTTTGTTCAACAATACTCACTCGTTAGAGCACTCTACAAAAGTGTGTGCGTGTATATATCAAATATGCGTGATGAGATAATCAATCTCAACCACCCTAATACATAAGCTATTACTGGTTTAATCACTTAGCAGGCTGATTAGAGCACAAAAGGAACAAGATTTGAGGAATCTATGGCAGCTGTTGGGGTCATTTAGTGCATGGCCTTGACTTTTGGCTCCTCTTACTTACTAATTGAGATGGAGTTAGGTCAATATTCCTACCAAATGAGATGGAAATTAACTTTACTGGTAGGAGACTAGAATCTAGTAGTAGTATGTATGGTACTGGGAAACGTGGTTTCAGACCCCAAAAGGACCCGTTTGTCTTTTTATGGTGATCGTGTAGTGACATAAGAGAGAGGGTTTGGAGTTGGTGATAAGTCCAAGGCCAACCTTTTTCTGCCATTAAAGCTGGCGTACCCCACCACCACGTTCTTCCTATCCCTTATCACAAGTTTAAACCACATATGCCGACGATGCAGGTATGATTGCATACTGATCATCGAGACGATAACTGTTATATTCATCGATGTTATGTTTTTATCTACTTATTTGACAACCGAGATTATATTTATAATGCGAATATAGTAATAACTGTCTTCAGTTGGTTGGAGGAGGTCGTATCGTATATATGTTTAAATGCGAAGACAATGTATATTTGTTTTTTTTCAAGTTAATCAATTTATTTGTGATGTCGTAATTTTATTATCGATGAAAATTATTAAAATTTTATTTTAAAGAGTCAAATCTAAAGAATTTATTTCCAAGTGACTCTAGAAATGATTATATGTAATAGCAAGTGAATAGCTGTTTTTTAAATGGTTTTTTTTATTAGCATCCCACATAATATTGAATGCACTTTATATTAAAATTTAATATTATGTGGCTTATATAACATACTATGCAATGACAATTTCGACCTTATGAGGTTTAAAGAAAATAAGAAATTTCTAAATACACCCAAAGTTACTTTTAACATATTATTTATTTTCTTCAACTATCAAAACATCTCTCACCCTCCACTCCATTGTTGAATAAAATTCTAACTATTGAAACTATAAACACGTTGATTGAGAAAAAATTTAACGAATTGAACACGATATCAATATTTCGGAAACTTCACATGACGTAAAATTTCATATTTGTTATTGTTTTAATTATTCAACGACATCGGTAATTATTTAAGTCTGCTTTTGCTTTCCATACTACCCAATTTCATAAGAGGCCAACCCAGCAACGCCTTTTTCATTCTTATTCATCTTTTGGGGTTTACTTTACTCTGTTAGGTTCCTCCCAGTTGCCATTTTTTAGCCAAAATACTCTTTTTTGTTAGCAAAAGGCTTAAGAGACAAAGAAAAGGAGATTGGCTGTGATGACCCAATGAAATTCAAGCTCAACCGACTGGATTGTAGACTTCTCTTTTTAGAGAATGTTAGGGTTTTTAATCCTAAGTCAATTTAATTTATAAAAATTGAAAATGAGTATTATAAGATTTAAAGAATGTGGAGTGTATAGAAAATGTGGGGTGTATGCGAAAAATATTAGGTGTATGAGAATGTGGGTGTAAGGGTATTATGAGAAAGTATGTGAGGTGTATTAAGATAATTTTTAATTGAAAAAGCAAATGTAGGATGTATTAAGTATGTAGGGTTTAATCAACAATATGTGGAGTATTAATAGAATAAGCCCTTTTAAATTTATAGTCATTGTTCATATGCTAAATATTAAAAATGTAATAAAACTCAACGGTGGACCATGAGCCAAGAAGAAAGGGAAGAGGGAGTGTGAATTTAGAAGAAAATGATTGAGTTCATGAGTTTTTCTTTTTTTTTTTTCAATTGATTAATAATAAAATATTCAAAGTTTGTTAAAATAAAAGTGATATTGGAGATGAAAAGTTAAAGAGACTATTTAAAGTAATTATTTGACACTATTCACTCGCTGAACAAGCAAAAATTTAACAAAACTATTAGCGATGGGCGATCCAATGCTTGCCCACCGTCATTGCCATTGGCGACGAGAGGAAGACGGGCCTCCTCGTTGCAAGGTCCAGAATTACTAGGTCCGCTCTGATTGCGAGCAGAAAGGATCCTTACTCAAGGATCTGGAAAATTCATAGTGGATTGATCTGAAGAGGATTCTTACCCGTTGCTAGAGGTGGTAACTTAAATTAGCTAACTAAATTAACTTGTGACACTACTCACTAACTAGACTAGCAAATTTTAAAGTAACTCTTGGAGATGCTAAGACCCCTAAATAGTGGGAAGGCCACTGAACTTTTTATATATTATGGACAGATCCTAGCAATGGATTTTGTAATAATTTTCCACAGATTTGGATTATTCTTTTGTCAAACTAAATAGTAAAATGGAAAAAATTTATAAAAGTACAAAAAGAGAGGACAAAACAGAGAGCAAAAAGGGGAAATGTAATGTATCACGTGAGACAGCTGCTGGCTGCAACAAGGCATCACACCCAAATTAGACTTCTATTTTCTGCATGTTATCTTAAGATGATAAAATGATTAACTAAAACCACTATCATTGTTTGGGTGGTACTATCCACACACTTATTTTTATTTTCTACATATCTCTTATTAATTTTTGTTATTTGACTTTCTTCAACTCATTATATATGATGGCCGGAAATTGAAAGAGGTGTGTAGAAGATAAAAAGAAGTGTGTGGATAGCATCATCCTAATGTTTTTGGCTTGGAAAGTAAACTTGTTGGAATAGTTATTGGCATGGATGGTCATGTATCATGTATGTATATAACAAAAATGTTAAGATCAACTGTTATGCGTGTATGGGATGATCTTGGCCACTCATGTTCGGACTCACAAAGCAGGAACAGACGGAATCAACTGATGTTCACGTAGGCAACTGATTCCAGCTTTTCTTATAAAGCATAAATGTACTGCATTTTTCTTTCACAAGCTCAAGGTAAGAGCTAGACCACTCAAACCTTGTCGTTCCAGGTGGAGATGTCTGAATCAAATGGCTAGAATATAGTTGAAGAAAATCCTGGATTCCTGGGAATATTTTATAGGATTAGAAAAATCAACTTTTAGAACAGAAAAATTCCCGTTTCATGAATGCTTTCTCACATATTATCTCATGCGTCACTCATACGATATAGCAAATGTGAAAGATCCGTTTTATTAAACCGACAAGTAGTGCTTCAGTCACTTTTAGTTTTAAATTTGACAACTTGCATAAGAATCTGGTTAAGGTTACTGTGTAAATGCATGCTGCATGGAGGCCCCAGTTACGTGAAGGAAGGCCTCGTTTGCCAAAATGCATACATCCGACAAAACATGTTTCACAAGATTTCTCGTGGCCACAAAGCCATTAGGAAAAATAATAATTCCTCTGCAAATTAACAACACTTTGTTGACCAATCTGCAGCAAATAGGTTTGAACTGTTTGGACTGAATCTTGGAATTGTTCTGATCAGGATATATCAAATTACTGCAATCTTTTCAAATAATAAGTAGGTGAAAAGTTCACTGTCCCAATTAAATTTTCAATAGCATCGACTCAAATGGTTGATACGTTTCCTTTTTTTTTTTTTTTAAATAATGAAAAATTGTAACCATGTGACATGTTTAAGACGTGGCTTTGAGACATGAGAATACAAATTAAACCCTCTCACGGATGCTTTGCTTTCATTTAACTAGTTATTGCGAGAAAAAAAAAGTCGCATGCGATAATGTTTATGTAAAAGGGCAAGAATATACTCATGGGTTCATGTACAGTATGATTTTGCATTAAACACGATCCCGTTGTTTGAATCGTCCTAGACAGACCAAGCCCTAATAATAAAAGGTGAACTTAACAATCTAACGGCTACAACTGCATTAAGATACAACTTGTCATGAAAAAAGTTTCAAAAGGTATACATGATCAAGTTTAAGCAATGGTTTACATCCTGCAAGAGCAAACTCCTTTTTATTGCAGTTGCCATTAAATTCAAAACACATTCAAAGGAAGAACATTGACTGTTACAAAATGACAAAAGGTTAGTGTGAAAATTAAAAGCTAAGTGGGAGACTGGAGGCAATTAGGTCCCAATACAAAAAAGTTGAGCAAAGACATTTACACGACCACCACCACCTATCATATCACTATCACGGCTGCCGTCACCATCACATACCGCTGTCTCTTCCGTCGCTATTGTCGTCACTATCTATCGTCATCACCGTCGCCATCACCACCCACCATCATCACCATTGTCTTCACCACTATTACTAGTACATTTCTTAACTAATATCTCTCATTTATATTTTAGTAACTTTGTACACACATTAAATTCCGTATTAGATTTTATTCTTTTAACTTAACCAAACAATAAAATTCATGAATTCTACAAAATAAAATTATCATTTCAAATTTTATTATTTTAGAATTCTTTAATAATCTTAAATTTGTTTATCTAAATGCAGTGTTATAGTTCCTTGTGAAATTAAAACACTTTCTGGGAAAATATCTTTTCTGTGCAGATATGCTCATTAATTGGACGGCTCCTAATATGCAATAACCAGCAGACCTTTTGAGAATTGTTTCACGGCTGCTTAATGTTTTTGAATTGAGTTCTCACTGCTATGATGTCTGGTCAGTTGTCCTTTGCTTTGCATTAACTTTGCGGCTGGTAGAAGATGCCACAAATGACGATATTTCATCATGCAGTATTGTGCGTTGTCTTGTAGAAGAGTTAAAACACATGGTAGGGGCATGATTCGTTTGGAATACTGCTATCGTAACATCTCATGTGTAGGTGAGATGTGAAACAGGTGTGTCAAGTATAAGCTCATGCGCTATTCATGGGAGTTTCAAAATCCTTATTTTCAATTTATCAAGTGAGTGGCACATGAGCTTATATGTGAGACGCTTGTTTCAAGTAATGGGGTACATGCGAAAAATTCAATATATCACGTTAGTGGCACATGAGCTTATATGTGAGACACTTGTTTCACGTAACAGGTATAGGCGCGTCCATTTTGGTTTGTGAATGGCTTTGGGCTGTCCCAGTTTTCTTGTAGCAGTTGAAAAAAGGATAAAAAAAACAAAGATTTTTGCAGCTGCAAGTCATATATATGTTGAAAAATTATCTGGTTGGAAAGCTAGATATGAAAATGCGGTATGAATGATACAATTTGCTAAGAATCATCAATATAAAATTCTCATGTTCAACAATGTATGACATACATGCATGGCGGACCGGACGTGCACTCAAGAGTCAAGGGAATTGAAGAGGATGAGAAAGTGAATATTATTATTGGAATGGTCTCATACGTACATGCCCTGAATCCAGGAACGTCACAACTCCAGCCTAATTTTACAGTAAAAACTAGTAACTGTGTAAAGGATCCGTGAAACCGTATAATCCATTAATAATCACTTGAAGCAATCAAACCTGTATTAGGGAAGGTAAAAAACAGCATTAATATTATTACCATTTAAGGCTGATGCAGTGAAAAACTATGGTAAGAATGGTAACTTGCCTGGGACGGAACTAGCCGAGGAACATCAACTAGCCGCTCGATTGTCTGCAACTGATCGTAGGGCGCAATCTGTGCCGTAACGTAGAAAATTCATACATTGATCATAACAAATTGCAATAGAAGACCAATGATCATATCTTGTGAGGTGCAATTATGGATGTACCTACTGTGCATGCACTCAATTCATTATTTTACTGCTACGGCACCAGTTAATGGTTTTTGATGTTCAATCGTTGGAGAAATCCTATTTTCGTAACATTTTCGCAATTTCAATTCACATTACTTGTAGAAATTTGGCATGCTTTTGAATTTCAGTCAAAAGGAGTTAGGTTGTCATGATTTTCATGAAGTTGACACTTACCTTTTGCATCATGCCGGTCCATGTCAAAAACTTTGCAAAGTAAGCCAGCAATAAAATCATTCACAATACCACCTTTTTTACCTGACTAAATCCGTCTGGCCACGTTATTGAAACGGCATAATTCCCCATAGGCCGAATCTCTTCAGGTTCGATGTCTTCTGGAACATCATCAAACCGCAACTTTTGCTCCCCCGTCCACTCATCCTGATTTTGCACAAAATTAGCAACTCAAAATTCGAAGGGCGAAATATTAAGTCAGGCATGTAGATTATTTGGAAATTATGACATCAATAATCAAAACTCAACACTAAAGGAAGATTTGTCGAAGCCTTTCTTTTCTACCAAAGGTCCTACAAAGAGTCTAGTAACTTCTACCATCTTACCCCATCAATTAGCCTCTTCATAGTCTTTGTCAATCTGATTAATCCATCGGATCTACTAAATTTATGTGAGAATTTGATAGCCGGATTACTACTTCCCCGTGATTTAGAACGTAGTTATTACTGATGTGGAAAGATGGAAGAATGATACTGATGGGTGAAATGTCATATATGCACATAATCTGCATATTATGTAGCAGCAATACTTTGACAACAAAGATGCTTCGAAAATAAACCACCACGTACCACACTTTGTGCAGAGCGGTCATTCCGCCTCACAGTTGCAGGATGGAGAAGAAATTCTTCATCTGAATCCGGTACCTTCACTCTTATTGCCTTGATAGATTTATCGTACATCACAGCTGTTGACACTGTAAAAGAAAATTAACAAACTCAACATATGTTCGAACAGCGAGTAAATTGCAAGCCTCTAAACTTTTGCGGAACACAAAACCATCACCACAACATTTTGATTTCAAAATTTTGAAAGTAGAATAACCTTGTATAAAAATTTCAATATAGTACCTTGTTGGCGAATCTTAGCACACTGTTGCACGACACATATCCCGAGATCCTGAAATATCTTCGAAACTTCACCTAGGGGATCAGCTACCACTTCGGGCGTTCCACTATCTCCGGAAGCAGATAGCTGCCAGATAAATGTTAGCAAAATTTAAAATACGTTCCTGCGCAGGACATATCAAACATTGACGGAAGACAGAGGACTTACAGTTGGTCTAATGGGAAGATCAAACAGATTCGGGATACCAAACTGCTGCACAACCTGCAGCGGATCAAACTATTCTATTTCAAATACAATGGACATGAAATTCTACTGGTAGTGCACAAATTGCCTGCAGTAAGATTATCCAGATGTTGAGAAAGGAAGTGAATTCTTCAATAGTGAGCTTGCCTGAGAGCCTGATCCTTTACCAAATGGGTAATAGCGTTTCCCATCAGCTTCAAAATGGCTCATATTCTCGACTACAGCAACACACGGTACCTGAATGGTGAAAACGAAAGTAAGAACGTCGAGAAAGAAATAATCACACCTTCATCCTTTTGGAACAATGTTAACTTAGAACAAATTATTGGTTACATGGTATTGAAAAGTACTTCGCAGTAACGGATGATTGTGTGGTGGAAATACACACCTTAAGCTTTGAAAACATGCGAACTCCTTTTGCAACATCAATAAAAGCTAGCTTTTGAGGGGTGGTAACGATAACAGCAGCAGTTAATGGAACAACCTGCAAAACCAACTTTGTCTGTATCAAAACGTAGAAACCTTGAAGTAAAAAATATTCGTGCAGAGCATCCACATAGACATACTTCATAAACTAAATACAGAACGACAGTAACCGAGACAAAAAAGCAGGACCTGGCACAACGTAAGCTGAATATCACCAGTTCCAGGAGGCATGTCAATAACAAGGTAATCCAGCTCTCCCCTACATAATGAAATATTCGGGATTAGAAGATGACATGAGAATCATACTTAACGATAATGGCGGAGTTTCGTGTACAGAAGCATATCATACCACTCAGTTGTAGTTAGAAGTTGGTTGATGACACCAGAAACCATAGGGCCTCGCATTATGGCACGCCCTTGCCCGGCAAATCCAAAAGACACCAATTTCACTCCCAAGTATTCTGTAGGAATTATCGTTTTCGTCTCTGGGTTCTAGAGGATGTTTTGAAACTGTCAGAATTGCAGCACCTTACTAAATACGAGAAAAATTCTGCTAAATTTTCTGATATTACCATCACTAGTATTCGGTTCTCAGGGGAGACCATTGTCGGTAAACTTGGACCATAGACATCAGCATCAAATATACCAACCCTAGCACCCATACCAGCCAAAGTGTATGCCAAGTTTACCGCTACGGTTGATTTTCCCACACCTCCCTGCACACATTTCACAAACAGCAGAAAAACGGTACAGAATTAGCAGTCTACACTTTCCACCAAATGTAAATTGCTTATATACACTTTTCTTAGCTTTTTCTTTCAAGAAGAAAAACCTTGAGAATCACAAATTCTCTGCAAGTGAAGCGTGAGGACAATGGTAATTTTATGTATTTCTTTACTCCGCTAGTCGATATCCATGGAGATTCCATAGTTATTACTAGTTCAGTCAGAAAGAGCAATTCTCCTAACTAGAAAAGACGGAAATTCAAGCTAAAAGATATGGCTCCCTGAATTTAAAATGTTACAAACAATAATCAAATCCTAAGAATTGAACCGAACCATGTAGAGCGCAAGTCACATTCAACAGAAAAGAACCGAAAACAAAGTACAGATTCTACCTTACAACTAGAAACTGCTATAATATTTGAAATCGTCTGTAACCCTGCCGGAAGTTGGCCAGCATAAATTGGTTTCGCTGGCTGCGCTGACATAGTCACACTGACACTCTTAACCCAAGGAAGTGCGTTCACCACCTCATTTGCCTGTTGTTCAAACTGTAACGCAAACGAAGCTTGTTATGTTTGCTAGGTCCTAAAATGTTATTATAAAAAGGATAACAAATTTATTTTTGCCATTAATCATAGAAGATCGAAATCATGAAACTGATGGCAATTGCATCTTGCCATGCCAAGCATCACATAACTCCATTAGTAGGGAATATCAAGTGGAATATGAATCATATCTACAATATCAAACATATGCAAGTTCATGATAAAAAAACGGTGATTGTCTCAATTACCATGTCCTTTATTGGACATGCCGGTGTAGTGAGCTCTAACCGAAATGAAACCTGAGACAAAAAGGTCAATATATTTTGGTAAGGACATTAAGCTCTATACGTCTGTCACTGAAAATTTTCCCATGCAAGCTCTAAATGACCTCTCCCGAAGCATCATTGATGTCCAGATCTTTCACAAATCCACACGAGACAATGTCCGTCCCAAAGTCTGGATCGATGATCTGAGACAACGCTTTGAGTACATCTTTCTCAGCTTCCGCCTTTAAAATTTCATCAGCACCAACTACATCTGAACAAAAGGAATAGGAAAACATAAATAAATAGAAAACAATATCATCAGATGAATATAGATGTTCTTTGAAAAATTCCCAATTTTATTCATAATCATAGAAAAATAATAACTTTGGATTGTTGTTGTCACCTTCATTGCAGTTTTCCTAATTGAATAGGAACGCTATCAGGACTTGGGCTACTAATTCAACTGCTAAATATTTCAAAAGATAAATTCTTGTAGAGTGTTTTTCTTAAATTTTCTGTCTTTCACTAAATCTCGAAGTCGAGATTCCACAATAAAACTAGTTCGTAATGGGGAGTAGCCCAACGGCCCCAAAATGAATACTAGCACATGCCATTGCCACACTAATAAAGTGAGTTGTGCAATCTAGGAAAATGGGTTTAGTCTAGAATAAGCACTTATAATTTAAGCTGCTTGCTGGGTTGCTGAAAAAGAAGGTAGAGAGAGAGAGAGAGAAGGTGCTTTTACCTTCCAAAGAAGCAGCTTTAGTAGTGAAGGAGCTCAATACAGAGTCTCTGCGCGAAACCCATTTGGACCTTTCAGGTCTTTGTTGCTGAAGCGAACAAAATACAGCCGTTGAAGACTGAAGAGGCTTCTCATATGAAGATAGTAATCCTGCAACAAATCACCAAACCATAGCATAGTAAGTGCTTCAACTCAATCAAAACGAGCGTGGCAAATTTGAGTTAAGCTAGTTAGTCAAGTCAGTGTGTCCGCCCGCACACAAGTTCCATATCGATGTCTTCAACTCACCGGCATCTTCATGTGATTTCACGTTTTGGAATGAGAGATACAGCGAAGAAGGAACATGAAGAAGTTGCATGTTTTTGTTAGAGAGAGAAAGAGATTAAGAAATGTGTGGAGATGATGAGAGAGAAAGAGGAAGTGATGATGAGTGGGCTGCGTGAAGTGTGAACCTCATGTTTCAAGCCACTAGGAATAGCCTGCTGATGAGGGTGTGGGTAAGGGATTGGGGTAGATTAGGTCCCAGGTTCGAGGCCTGGTGTGGGTGGGGTGGGGTGGGGATAAAAAAAAATAAATAATTAAATAAATAATAATAATAATAAATAAATAAAAAGTGAACCTCATGTTTCCAAAATTTGAGTCATCTGTGTGTCTATCTGTAAATGCAATCTCGTAATCTTATTCAGAATTTAATTTTGTTATCCACGACGACGTATTTACCTCTTTTGCTGACTTGGCACCAATATGGTTCTTAGAACTATGGACGACATGTTGTTCCAAGTTAACTGTCAATTAAACTTCTGATTATCCATAATTCTCTACCAAGTCCCTTATTTTCTCCTACACAAGTGATATTTGAGGAGAGAGTCGAAAAATACCTCGAAGCAAGAGAGATTTTTCACGTGGTGAGAAATAGACTCATGATCATTTATAACCAATCTCACACATTGTTTACACAAGATGAGAGAAACATTTCACATACGATCGTATACAACTGAAAATAAAACATATTTCCTTATAGAGGTACATGCTCTTATACGCTCTAAGTTCATGTACTCCGCCGATCTAAATTTAAATTTTGTTTTAAAAATTAAAGCATCAATTTCTTAAAGAAAAAAAATAATAAAAGCAAAAATATTTCCAATGGTACCCATTTCTTTCCATCTTACCTTACTTACAAGGCAAGAATCACCAACCACATTAATTTGCCAAATACCAGATCATGGAATAAAAAGGTGAAGATAGAATAAAAGAATGAAAATGTAAGAAAATCGCAGAAAATAAAGCTAAATTCATGTACCCTTCTGTAAGTTTTATGAAGACAATGACAGCAGTGCTTATAACTATATCTTCAATGATTAATTCTACAGCTTCAAATGTAACTACGACAACTTCGGGAATGAAATGCGACCTACAGCCAGAAACCTTGCATCTGAGCATCTCCTTCCCAAGAAAAATCAGTCTCTTCCAGATCAATGGCCGAAATCTTTTAGCCGGACAAATCTTGTCCGCGGTACAAATTAAATCACTTGTGACAATGACTAAGGAAAAAATGCCTGTACAAAGACTGGCAAAATTAATCAGAGGCTACTTATCTCAGGAGAAAGAGTAATTCAATATGAAGCGGATAGTACTTCTTATCAGAATGCCTGGCCTTGCCTCCGCCCGCCCTTATTTAATGCCACAGCTTACTACAGAATCCATTTCGTGGCCTCTTGTTGGACACGATATCTGAAAATGAGTCAACTAACTGTCCTGCCAAGCTACTTGGATCCTCGATCATAGTATGAATAAAGGTATTGACCACCCTACGCTCCTGCTCAGTCGATCTCAAACTAAACCATGTTAGCAATTTCAACCTGAATTCCTGCGTAATGTGACCCTCACATTCCAGCCACCGGATTATTTTCACACAGTACTCAAAGTTCTCGTCCAAGCAATAAGAACCATTAGAAATATGCGCCGGTGGCCCGTTTATTAGTGTGCTATCACAATCATATATCTCTTCATTTGTGTTTGCTGCCCTCTTCCTGCCAACTTCTGCCCGGGAATCAACAGCTGGGACATCTCCATTAGGCCCGTGAGTCCAGGTCTGCGAATCACCACTACCATGTGATCTTGCTAAACCATTCTTCACTAGGTCATGAGAGGCAGCATCATCATCTGCTTCAACAGCATGCTGCAAAGTGTATCCATTGTCTTCATCTCTGGAGGATTCAAATGGCGGGGTTAGCTCTTCGTTCAGATCGGGCATTGAAGCAACATTTAAGTCAAGCCTGTGCGAAACTGAAGGCAATGGTTCTTGTGGAGTTTCAGTTTTTATTGTGCTGCTTACTCCACACCACGTTTCTTTATCAGCACTACAAAACCCCTCAGAGTTGCCTTGCTCTTGAGCCCAAGCCAGACGAAGTACCTTTCCAAGATCTCGAACTTTAAACTCAGAAGAAGGACCAACTGCTGTTGTAGTTTCAGACTCTCTCTTGGCACTAGAATCTGCTTCGATGATCGGATTCTCTTTCGTATGATTCCTGGAAACTGGTGAAATGGAGCTTCTGTGAATTATCTCAACACTCTTGGTGAAACACTTTGCCTCAGAGTGACCCAAGTCACCAGCCTCTGTATAAGATATTATCCTAAACGTATACTCTGTGCAAGGCTGCAGATTGGATATCAAAATCCTTCTCTGAGATCTTGGAAAGATACAACTAGGCTCTTTTGTGTGTGATTCTTCTCGACTCTTGTAATACCAGAGCTTGTAGCCCTTAATATCGTCAGACGATGCATTAGACAATTCAATCAATATAATCACAACAGAGGATGATGCCACTTCTTGAAAAATAAACTTGCAAGCTGCAGGAAGTGAACCCTCTGCAAATGAGGGACAGAAAAAAATATGTAATCATTCCAGTTTTCCATGCATAAACAATGGCCTGTAAAAGGCGAAAAGAGGACCAAGTGGTACAGTTTCCTACCTCGGGAATTTGGATCCGCATTAGAAACACTGGCCAGCCATTCATCTGCTTTCTGAATTGCAAGGGAGCAGAGTTTCAGCACGTCACCAGCAATTGATAGTCTGCTGACTATTCCTCGTGCCATCTTTGCGGAAACGCCATTCACTGGGCCAACTTCTGTCTCTAGTTTAGACTTTGCTTCTTTCACAATTTCATGTACTTCATTAAATTTTGAAGTCCCATGCAAGAGTCTGTAACTCAAGTATATCCTATAACAAAGTACATCAACACGGCGAGCATCCTTTGCCACAATGAGCTGCTTCTTCCAATTTCTGCTAGCATTAATCAAATGACAGCAGTAACATCAGCTCGAGGCTAGAAACCTATTAGGCAAATTACAGACGTGTACATGCAATAACTCCTCCCTAAATTTTTTTTTTTGATTTAGATTGTTGGTGGTGGTGGTTTGGTGCGGGGTGGTGTCCGGATTTTTCTTTTATTTCTTTCGCCCAAAGTGCTTGGCAAAGATAATTTGTACAGAATAGCAAACATAAGGAACAAACCTGAAAACAGATTCTTAAATGGGATACAAAAAAGTTTCTTGTTTAGGAACTCTCAAACTCAAAAACATAAATTTGGAGTTTTCAAATAAGCAAGAAAATTACTTACCCCAGTATCCCCGAAACTTTACCACAGGAAGCGCAACAATAACTACCATCTAGCTGCATCAATTGCCCGAGATCAACAACTCCCACCTTTGCACGTTGAAGGGCGCACTCAATGTGACAAGACAACCCACAGGAATCTCCGCCACCAGATTCAGATGTGCACACTAACCAAAGGCTAGGGTCCTTGTTGTCATCAAACAAATGACATATACAGCAAGAGCACCTCCTGCAAAATGCGTCATCTATGGATAGAACAGCTCTACAAGCAGAGTTTTTACAGATCCATGAGCTTGAAGATCCAAATTCTGGAGACTGATCAGAAGCTGGTGAGAGCCGCATAGGATTTTCCCCCTTTCTGCCTTGTTTTTTAGGAAGAATATTTGGACTAGAAGAAGCTTTCTTTGCATCCTGCTTCTTACTCGTCTTGTTAGTAGTCTTCAAAGGTTCAGTCATTTTATTTTTTGATGAATTCAAGTTTTTCTTGTCCTTTTCAAAGCAAGTTCTAAGCAGTTCCTTCTTGGGACCTGATTTCAGAAACTCTTGAAGAAGCTCTGGACTTTGTGAAGCATCATCTGAATGCCCATTCTTCTCGGGAGTGCTTTGCACACTGCAAGAGAGGCTTTGAACACCAGAAACTGGATTGTGGAAAATAAAATGACGAAAAGAAAATGAAATTTCGGCACATATATCAAAGCAACAACGAACTTCAAGTCTACAACTCAATAATAAGGGAGGGATAAGAGAAAAAGGAAAAACTGTGATAGAATGCACAAGCGATAGAAAAAGCTCTCAAGATCAAGTGGTGAAATTCTGTTTTATCCTTCTCATTTCCCTTCAGCGCATAAAAAATTTCATTTACAAAATAATCCTTTTTGTGGGAAGTAGATTCTGTACATTCCAACATCTCAGTCGGTTTGTGCTTATTTCTGTTTATTTAGCCAACATTATCCAAAACACAACATCTCCTCTCAGACCTCATTCCTTAGCGCACCTTCCTAATCTCTTAACTGAACAACTATTAACAATCCCTCCATCGACGATAATGTAAGTCAAAATATCATCTCACATATTGTAGGAAATGAACATCTAGTCCCACTTACAATAGCTCTATGCATTTGTCCAAGAAATCTGTCCTTCCCTGGGGACCCTTAAGCAAGAAATCAAAAATTCAGCTGGTAGGTTTTATAGGGTGTCGGATGTACATCACTACATCTACATCTGCACAAACTTTATTTTTGAAAAGAAAAAGTTCAACACTTCAAATGCAATTCAAAATAACTTCAAAACAACCCAAGTGTCTGGCAATAGAAAGTCACACATGAAGTACCGAAGAGCGTGTTCAACACCGTTTGCTATATCCAACATATCACTAGGCTACAATGGACAGGGTCCCAGTAACTCTTCCACGAAGCTTCTCCCTCTTCTATTTTCTACTAAAGTTATGTAACCAATACTACCAAACATTCATCGCGAAACCACCATGGATAAAAGCTTCAGACTTTACGAAAGGAATGCACGCGAAAGACAAAGATCGTACCTTTACTAACAAATTTATCTTCTAATTCCATATTACGCAATAGCTATACCCGACCTCCCTGCAACGATTAATTGGTATAAAAACATGGACAGAACAATTGAAGGGGGCTACTAGTTCGTCAGTTTCCATAATGTAGCTAGTCGATTGAAACAACCCGAAAACCGCACCACACAACGCTTGAAGCTAAAACTAGAAGCAACAAAAATTAAATAAAAAATAATTAATTAATTAATTAATTAACTGCTGAAAGAGAACTAAATGTGCTTTGCAAACAAGCTAGCTACCACCCATGCAAATAA